CTTACATCTTCCTACGTTTCTCAATCGTGACGTCAGAACTGCCGCTGATCGACCATGAGACGCCTTCATCGGCGACCTTGCGACGACAGTTCTGTCAATCAACACGGATGGCATGGACAGTGCGACAAGTACTTCTACCAAAATGGAAGGTACACTCAGGACACCTACAAGCATCATGGTGAACAGAATCCGGAATTCAGCAATCATAGAGGGTACGACCAGCACCACGGATGGCACGAGCAGCACCAACACCCAGACCAACACAACCAGCATCACCAACGCTTCCAGCACTACCAGAACCAACAATACCATGATTACCAGCACTACGACGCCCCGCAACGACCTCGGCAGAACGACGACCAGCTTCGACACCAACAGCACGACCACCAGTACCACCAGCACAGCCAGTTTACCAGAACTACATCGTCCAGCACTGACCTCAGCAGTACCACGGCCAGCACCATGACGCCCAGTACTACATTGTCAAGCACCGATCTCAAACTCGACCTCAGCACTACGACATACAGAACTATCAACACCACCACCGCCCGCACCTCCAGCACCAACATCAGCAGCATGACAGCCAGCACAACGAGCATCCCCAGCACCACCATAACGAGCATGGCGAGCGACTCTCCAGCAGCTCCGCGTTCGGCCCCAGAGCAGCTCGGCCGAAAGGAGACACGGCGACCGCCGTACACATATAGTGCGCGCACACCAGGCTACCAAACATATTACTACTCGACTCAAGACTGACCTGCAGCCGCAAGTGCAACACAACGACAACCACGTGCATGAAATGTGCGCATTTCCTGGGTCGCTCTTGCTACCCGGACTTTGGCAGCCGCCGCTTCCACCAGCACACGCGCCGAGCATCAACAGCCGACCACAACACGACAGACGCAAACAACCACCACCAGCACACCTACCGCGACCAGCACCACAAGAGCAACACAGCGAGCACAGCGACCGACTGCAGCAGCTCTACAGCGAGCACTACGACCGACTCTAACAACTCTTTAACGAGCAATGCGCTCTACTACAACATGTCCAAAGATCCACCAGCGACGACAACACGACAGCTACGACTACCACGGCGGCCCTCACAACAGGCACGTCATCCACGACAGCGACTTCCACACGCACCCACACCATGTCAAACGCCGCGACGGCCACAAGAGCCTCTACAGCGACTCTCGCGAGCAAGCTCACCACGGCGGCAACCACGACAGCCACGACAACTACAGCGGCATCCACGACAAGCAAGCACACCACGGCGGCCGCCGCGAGAGCCACAACAGCGACCCACACGAGCACGTGCACACGGACGGTCACCACGACAGCAACGACAGCCACAGCAGGGACTCGCACCAGCAAGCACGCCACGACGACTACCACGACAGCCACCACAAGCACGACAGTGGCACTCAAGAGCAAGTGCGCCACAACGGCCACCACGACAGCTACAGCCGCCACCGCGGCACCCACGACAAGCAAGCACACCACGGCAATCACCACGACTGTCACGACAGCTACTACAGCGACACCCACGAGCATTCACACCACGACAGCTTCCACGACAGCTACCACGACGGGCAAGACAGCGACTCTCACAAGCAAAGACACCACGACGACCACCACGACTACCACGACAGCCGCGACAACGACTCCCACGAGCAAGCCCACACTGACGGCCACCACGACAGCCGTCACAGTTACCGCCGTACCCACGAGGTGCAAACACACCACGGCGGCCACCACGACAGCGACGATAGTACCCACAGCGACCTTCACAAACACGCGCACAAACGGAGACTGGCTGATTTATCCGATCGCGACTCATTTGCTCCGACTCATCCGATTTGCGGTTCGGGTGAATTGTGACCGGATGAGCTTGGTACCGGATGAGTTTGGTACATGATGAAATTGGCACTGGATGAATTTGGCACTGGATGAGTTTGGCACTGGATGAGTTTGGCACCGGATGAGTTTGGCACCCGATGAGTTTGGCACTGGATAAATTTGGTATCGGATGAGTTTGGCACCCGATGAGTTTGGCACCCGATGAGCCTGGTTTTGGATGAGATTGGCGTTTCTCGTTTAGTGTGAGGTCTCTGGCGGGGAAGCCAGTGGGGTGATGTCAGAGATTCTTCGGCTGACTCGGTCGAAGAGCTGCGCTGTCTGGCAAAAGGGAACAGCCTACGCATAAACTTTCGGACGCTCGCGCGGAGATCTCGAATCGGCGCTGGACCGCTCTCGGGTTGGGCCTGGCGCGCGACGGGCGGCGCCCGCCTGGGTCGGGGACCGGTGCCGACGCAAGAGATCCGAGAGGGCTTCCGAAAGCGCATGCGCATGAGTGCTCATGATTGCCGATCGCTTGGCGTATGCCGGTTCTTCTCAGCATTCCTCGCTCCCCTGCCTGTTCCAAATTCGCCCTCCTCCCTCTTGTCTTTCTCCTCGGTTCCATGATCGATCCTGCTCCTCGTCCTCCGCATCCTCCATCCATGTCCTCCTCGATCCCCTCCTCCTTTTTCATATTATCCTCTTTGTCTCCCTCCTGTGCGTCCTCCACCCTCTCTCCTCCTCCCTGTCTTCCGAGCTGGATGAGTTCGGGATTTGGGGTTGAAGCGCCGGATGATTTCGCCACCAGATGAGTTAGGCCACTGTATGAGTAGACCGCTGGATGAGGTAGGCACTGGATGAGTTTGGCCTGAACGCTGGAGCGCACGTCGGCCTCAGGCGGGCCACGCGGGCACGCGCGAGCAGACGTCCTCTGGAATTCTTTCAACTTTGCATCGGGAATGGGCCCGCCCACTCGCCCGTGCCAGCCGCGGCCTGCCCGCTGCGCGACGTGTCTTCTACGCAACCCGTCGCGGCCCGCAGAAGGTGCAAAACCGCGCTGCGCGCCAGCGCCTTGCCCCCACGCGCGAGCCACACATTTCGCCGGATCGGCTGTGGCCGGCGTGCATCGCCGCCACTGCGGTTCCGCGCGCGAATCGATTCCACCAAGCGCCTGCTCTTCGGACGAAGCTTCCGCTTCCGCGCGAATGTCGCCACCGTCATTTACACCCGCAGCCAGCAAAGACACCTTGCGCTTCTGCTCCCTGCGCACGGGCGGCGGTGGCTGCCCCGACGAAAAAGACGCGGCGCTAGTGCCACGCTCGCCCTCCAAGGACGCCCCCCGCTTGCCGCGTTGCGAGGGCCTGGCGGAGCGCTGGGGCCCTCCGCGGCGCAGGCGACGCGCCAGAAGCACTCGAAGCAGTGTCGCCGCCTGCGAGCCCAACTTCGTCGGCCCGCGCGCCTGCCGAGCGAACAAATGCAAACGCATTCGCCCCGCATTGAAATTCTTGGCAAAGTGCAAAATCCGCCCAGGACAAAAGTAACAATCTGCTCTCGTCGGAGTACGCGCATTGATTGTCGCCGACCACCCCGAACGCAATAACCTATACGACCACCCTGCGGGTGATAAGGAGGTTGAGGGAGGGGGGGGGGCAGCAGTGGGCAAAAATGGTAAATGTTGTTCTGACGATGCCTGTGGGGCGGGGTCGAGTGAGTAGTGTGATTGTGCACGTGAGCGTGATGCGATGTGGCCATGTGGGCGAAGCGTACTCGACACTGCCGTGAAGGGCTGTCCCCGCGTGCGCTAATCAATCGCGCGAACCTCACCTCAGCGCCAGTCGACGCGGTGGAACGTGCGCGATGCGGTGCCACAGTGGCTGCTCGCGGCGCCACCCGATGCTGCCTTGGCTGCATGTCCGGCGCTCGCAGCACGAGCAAAGATTGGTGCCAGCGGCGACTGCGCGCGGGTGGCCGCATCTCCTGGCGGCGCTGGGGTTCCCACGTCAACGCCTGACGCACAGGCAAAGCCTGGTGCTCGCGCGCCCTCCTCGGGCGGCGCGTTCTCTATTGCGGACGCGTCGTCCACTCGCGGCTGCCGTGCCCGGTGCGTCCGTGTGATGGCCATTCCTTTCTTGGCCTTGGGGTCCCATGTGAACTCGGGGTGGCTCTTGCGAATGCACCTTGCGAATGCGCCGCTGCGTTCTGCGCCTGTCCAGTTCCGCCACCTCGCCAGGGTGGGGATTCATCAAACACCCGCCCACCCACTGGCGCTTTCGATGGTCCGTCGTGGTCCTCTCCAGCTGGTTCGGCGAAAACTGCTGCGCTGTCTTGTCCGGAAGTTTCTCGAACAACGTCTGGCATGCTCCCGCCGCGCGAGCATGCGCAAGCGGCCTTCCTGTCCCTGTGCGTCTGGAGGAGGCCGCGCCTGGTCCCTGGCGCAGAGAGACCTCTTAGATACCGCATTCAAGAACTCGTTCGGGGTCACGGCCACCGCGCCGGCACCGATCAACTTGACGCGCGCCACCTCACGGCCGAAAAGCATGTCCCGCGTGCCCCGGCCACGGACACCTGTCCCTCGGCGTCTCTGATGTTTCCCCCAGGCCTCGCGGCGCATGCTGTCGAGGTTGTCCTGCACCTCGGGATCGCCAGGTTCATCGATCACGCGGCACCGCGCGTGCTCCACACCGCGAACCTTCATAGCACCAACCAGGAGAATTATTTCCTCTCTACTTAGACTTGTCCTATCGATGAAGGGCGGTGCCGATCGACTTAGATCTGCCTACCGAAATAGAGCTTGGTGATCTGAATGCAGCTTGTCTGTAAACGCCGCTCTATTTAGAATTGCTTTTTCTTTAAACAGAAACACTACCTATTTAGATCGGTTGATTTTCCTAAAGGCCCAACATGGGTGTCAGAACAGGCCGAACTGGTGTTCTGCCGATTCTCAAGGCTCAACGTCGTCTACATGAGGCAGCGGCCAGGGGCCCCTCGCATGCATGAGGCAGCGGCCAGGGGCTCCTCGTCTAAGGAGCCCCTCGGCGCGAGGAAGGGGGGAGGGGTGGGCATGTCGCCGCGGCTGCTTGCGGCTCCGGTGCACATTTAGGCTCGATTCAGCTAAGCGCTCGCGCGCCGCGCGCCGCGCCCCCCTGCCCCGCCAAAAGATGGTCGCTGCCGCGGATCCTGGCTGGCGCGATTGCCCCAGGGCCAAGTGCACCAGCGATCTCCCAGCGCTCGCGGATCTGCGCAAGACGCACGCGCTCAGCATCATCCGCTACCAGGCGCAGAGCGATGTCGAGGAGCCGGTGCGCCTTAACAGGGCTTTCTTGGTCGACTTGGCGGCCCTGACGCCGCGAGTGCCTGCGCCGCCCCTCGCCAAGGCCGCCAAGGACCACTCGCCTGAGCTGTCGAAGCCCGAGCGGGCGAGTTGGGCGAACGCCGCGAAGCAGGCGATGCAGCACTGCTACAAGCATAAGGACGTCAAGAAGCTGGCTCCCGCGACTGCCGCCGTCGCCCGCGCGCTGCAGCAACGCGGCCGCGAGGGGGCGCCGACTCTGCCGATTGATGCTCGGCCCAAGCCGTCGGCGGCCCCCGCCGGCAGCCCGCGCGGGCCCGCGCTGCGCAGCCCCCCGAGCGCGAGCGAAATCGCGGCAGTGCGCGGGCACAGCGGCACCCCGCGCGCGCCGACCAAGAGGGCGTCGGCTGCCCTGGGCAGCCCGGGCCAGAATTCGAGCGCAGCCCCGACTACGACGAGGAGGAGGTTGACGCGGAAGCAATCGCTCGTGGACTTGCCGACGGCCCCCGCGGCCGAGAAGCCCGCGCCGAAGCGCGCTAGCGTCCGCGAGGTGGACTGCAACCGAATCGCACTCAAGAAGACCGACGACAGCGCGGAGCTCAGGGAGTTCGACTTGGCCCGCGGAGCTCAGGGAGTTCGACTTGGCCCCTCGCGAGAAAGGGGCGCGCGTGGCCATCCTCGCCGACGGCGCGACGTGGACGTCGGAGATCACCGGCGCCGACTCCGCAGCGCGGATGAACCCGCCCGTGAATGAAAAGCCGGCCATTACGAAAACGAGCGGGAACAATGAGAAGCCTGCAGCGGCGACTGGCGCCTGGCGCGTCGATGGCGAGGACCTGACCATGGGCGCAGACGAGGAGGGCGAGGGCGAGGAGGAGGAGGAGGAGGAGATGGGCGCGGCCGACGAGGCCGAGGGGCCCGATGAGGACAACGACGCCAAGCGCGAGCTCACGCGGGCCATGAAGGGCATGCCCCCGAAGCCCGCAGCCGCCAAGGCGAAGCCCGCGGCCGCCGAGCTTAAGGCGAAGCCCGCGGCCGCCGAGCTTCCGAAGGCGAAGCCCGCGGCCGCCGACCCCGGCAATTTGACAGACGAGAAAGGCCGCGCGTTCGACTGCAAGATCGAGTAGTTCGACAGTGCGATGTACTACAAGAAAAACCACTCCGTGGGGCCCCGCGCGAAGGGCGGCTCGCAGCTTATTTTTTTCGAGGGGGGGGGGGGGGGGAAGGGGGGGGGGGGGGGTGCGCTGCGTGGCTAGCAAGGAGTATTTTTTTGGAAATCTGCAGCCAGGTGAAGGAGAGGCTCAACGCGGGCAAGGTAGGCCTGCAAGAGGCGAAGGAGCATGCGTTGTCCAAGCTAGTCTTCGAGTAGGCGCGCCGCGTGCCATTCGTGGCGGGGTAGTGCAGGACGGCAATAGGATGGATGAAGATTGTGCGCCGCTCGCCGCTTGGCGCAGAAAAAAAATAAGATGGGGGGGGGCGCGAGAGGGGGGATGGGGCCCCTCGGCCAAGAGGCCCCATGTAGGAAAGTGCATGGTAGGGACGACGTGGGGGCGCGCCCTGGCCGCTTTGGCCCCGGCTCAGCCCGCGCACCCGCGAGCGCCATGGCGACTCGCTGCGACCTCTGCGGCTCAGTGTTGCCAGATTGGCGCGGTTGGAAATTGGCGAAGCAAAATGGGGTTCTTTGCGTGGCCGGCGCGGACGCGCGGGAAGGGGTGGCGGCGCCGCTGCTGCTGGAACTGCTGGCGCGACGTGCGCGGCACCTTGCCGCCGAAGGTGGGGGGCGCGTCGACCGCGGCTGCTGGCGCGACGAGCTGGACAGGCTCCTCCTTCTTCCTTCGCGGGAGAATATCAATGCAAAACGTAGACACAAACATCAAACAGGGCCCCATTTCCAAGAGAACCGCGACATCAGCCGCCGCGCCGCCTGGAGCGCGGAGGCGAGGCGCCCCCAGCTCGAGCCCCTCGCGAACGAGCGGCACGAGGTCGACCTGTAGCATCAGAAGGGTTTTGAGCCTGAGCTCACCGCTGAGTGACTGAGCCGCGTCGCTTTGCCATCTTTTCAAAGAAAAGGACAGCGGCGAGGATGTGGGGGGGGAGTGGGGGAGCTGTCGGAGTAACAAGGGGGGCGCGGGCGGCCCTCGGCGAAGGGCCCCCCCCCCCAATGGGGGAGGGCAGGGGGGGGGGCAGGGGAAGGGGCAAACGTGGAGGAAGGGGCGGGGGGGGAGCTTCGAAGGCCGAGAGGCACGGGGGCACCTCGGCTTTGGGGAGGGCAGGCCCAGACCTGCAGCGAAGGCTGCAGCGGCGGGGGCCCGCCCGCCGACGAGCTCGGCTTCGCGCCAGGCGAAGATATCGAGGTCATGATCCGAGAGGCCACCGAGAGCCCCAACGGCCAGGCCATGGACGCAGAGGTCCCACAGGAAACCGAAGTCGTCGAGGCGGTCGAGGGCTGCAGCGCCTCGGCCGAGGCCCCCGAGGGCGAGGGCGAAGCTCCGCCCGATCACGCCGAAGCTCCCGCGGGCGAGGGCCAGGCCGAGGCCCCCAAAGGCGAGGCCGAGGCCGAGGCCCCCGAGGGCGCAGTCGCCCAGCCCGACTCGGACCCCTTCAGCGACACCCCGCCGCACGAGCCCTACCTGCGCCTGCCGATGGAGGGGCTCGTGCCTCCGCAGCTCAAGCTCAGGCCCTGGTGGATGGCCATCTACAAAGCCTCCGAGGGGAGTTGCTGTTGGGCTTGCACCCAGCCGCCCCCCTTCGGCACAAAGGCCCGCAAGGTCCTCCAGGGCGAGATCTTCGGCCCGATCCTCGAAGTCGGCCAGCGCTTGCTGCGGGGGCCCCCGCGGGAAGGCCGCGCGGGCTTCGGGCGCGGCTTCGTCGCGGCGACCATCCAAGGCCCACAGCGCGGGCCAAAGTTCGAGTTCGCGAACCTCCGGGGCACGCGGACGCCACCCGGCACGCTGACTCCATGCTGGTTCGCGGAGCCCTGGGCGCCTCCAGGCGCAGGCCTCGGCGGAGGCCCGCTGACAGGGCCGCCGCCAGCGGGCGAAGGTGGGCAGCCACCTGCAGGAGGTGGCTGCGAATGGAGCGCGCATCTCGAGGACGAGGGGGGCGCGATCGACGTGCCCTCCGAGATGGAGCTCGCGTTCCTGGGCGGCCAGCCGATGGCTCGGCCCGAGGACTCGGCCTCCCACCACGCGCGCTGGGCCTTCTACGAGAGGTGGCGCTGCTGGAACACGATGCATCGCCGAGGCCTGAGGCCGCGAGATTGCAGCTTCTGCGGGAGGCGCAACGTGTACTTCGGCGACAGCAACTGCGTCGGCACCGCCTGCCTCAAGGGGCGCAAAGAGGACGCCGAGGCGCGCGCGCCCCGCCCGCCTGGCCAGCAGCAGCCCGCGAGGAGGAAGCGCGCGGGCAACCGGGCCTCGCGCCAGGCCTGGATGGGGAAGCTCCTGGCACCAAAAGAAGCAACTGACGCGATGGCGGTGGGCCCAGAGGAGCGGGACCAGGCAATGCGCAACTCCAATGCGGCCGACGCCCAGCAGGCCCTCCAAGAGCGCCGAGAGAGACAGAGACAAGAGGAGAGGGCCGCTGAGGAGGCAGAGGAGCAGACCATGGACCCTGAGGACGAGACCTGGGGCGCCTGAGGGCCCCGGCACCTGCCCCAGAGGCCAGCGCCTGAGACGCCTCCGAAGAAGGCGAAAAGCGCCCCGCTGAAGTGCAAGCCGGCTCCGAAGGCGGCCCGTGAGCAGACTGCCCGATCACGCGCGCCCAGGCCGAGGGGGCCTCAGCCTCCCGCAGCGCTGCCCCCCGAGGCCGAGCCGCAGCCACCGCTAAACCGAAGCAAGCCGTGGGTAGCCAGCTCGCAAGCAGCAGGTTCGAAGAGGGCCCAGGAGAAGAAAGCGGCGCTCATCCACGAGATGAGAATGGAGATGGCGAAGCTGGCAGTGCATAACAATATTAAGAGCGACGAGGCACAGCATCTGCAGGAGCGCCTCGAGCAGGCGCAAGCCGCGGTCGACGCGAGGCAGGCATCGCAGGACGCGCAGCGAAGAAACCACCAGCGATGAAAGAGCACGCCCATTCAGGATGAACGCGGCGCCGTTGCGAGCGCCTCGGCTAAGGCGCTCGCAAAGGCGTCGCATGCGATATCCTGAATGAGATGTGGCTTTCATGCCCGCGCGCTCCCATGGGAGGGCGCGACGGTGACGCTCCAGCAGCAGGCGCAGGCCCAGGCGGACCTTCTGCATATTCGAAAGGACGCTGCGGACGCCGAACAGCAGCAACACGAGGCCTACGAGACGCTCGCCCACATTGAAGCTGCCCGACTGGAAGCAGGGGAAAAGCTGAGAATTGCGCGCAGGGCTCTCCGCGAGGCCTACGAGAATCTCGCGGCACTGCAATCACAGCTGACTCGACCAGCAACAGCCGCAGCAGCGGCAGGTGCAGAAGGACTGGACGTTGCAGGGGCACGAGGCCTGGCTGCAGCAACAGGAGCACCAGCAGCAGCAAGCCTACAACTGGCATGCTCACCATCAACCCGTGACGGCGGGAGGTGTTGCAGGGTCAGGCGCAATGGCTCCAGCCGCCTTCCGAGCGGCGCAGGAGATGCTGCGGCCGCGGCAGGCCTGCGTGGCCCACGCGGGTGGCCCAGCATGCTTCTAGGCGCCCCCACATGAGCCGCCGCCACAGCGGCCGCAGCAGATCCAGCAACGCCCGCAGCAGATCTGGCAACCGCAGCAGATCCAGCCACAGCCGCCGCAGCATATCCAACAGCAAGGAGCGATCCAGCAGCAGCAGCAGTACACTCCAGCAGAATGGGAACTGCGGCATCTGCAGCAGACCCAGCTCCAGCAGGAGCAGATGCAGCGCCAGCAGGAGGATGCGTGGAGGCTCCAGCAGCAGCTGGATCAGCTTCAGCGCCAGCAGCAGCTGCAGGCGCTGCTCGGGCCGCTGCCTCCAACGCAGCCGCCGCTGCAGCCGCTCCCGCAGGCGCCGCGGCAGCAGGCGCGGCAGCCGCATCCATGGCAAGCCCCGCCGCGGCAGGCGCAGCAGCCGCCAACGCTGCCGCGCCTCTGGTTGAAGCGATGACCACGCTCCTGCCGCGCGCGTCCCCGGCGGCCAGGGGGGCGCCGCCGCTGGCGCCCGCGCCGTTTTGGGCGCGGGGCCTTTCCGCTCGGGCGCCCGCGGAGCTGCGTGCTTCGTCGGCGTTTTGAACCTGCCCGAGACAACGGGCGCGCGCCCCCGGGCGGCGGAGGAGCTCCTGCGGCAGAAGCAGACGCCCCTGGGCAAAGGCCCCCGGGATGCGGGGGGGGGGGGGGGGGGGGGGGGGGGCGGGAAGTAGAGATGGGGGGGTGGAGGAGGTGGCGGGAGGGGGCGGGGGGGAGGGAGGGGGTGGCGAGGGAGGCGAGGGACAGGAGGGGGCGAGGTATGGGGGGAGGGAGGGCGCGCCAAAAATAAAATAGCATATGTTTTGTGGCGCGTGGATCCCCAGGGCCCAACCTAACGTATCAACACTGAAATATGTGATGTTTGGCCGCATGTTTTCTTCTTGGTTTGAATTGTAAACCCACAAGCAACAAAACAATAACTTATGCCATGCTACTCTGCGCGGCCCCCCCGGGCGCAGCGAAACATAAAGTAACATATGTTTGTGCGTGTGTGCTCGTCTGCTTTCTTATTGTGTTTAAGTGTAAACCACCTGACGCACTTAAACTAAACTGTTATGTTTCAGTTTACGTGGGCCTCCATGGCCCAACCAACGATATAATAGCATGTTGTAGTTCATGTGTTGCCGTCTGTTTCTGATTGCTTCTCAGTGTAGAACGACTGGCAACAATAAAACAAAATATGTTATTGCATGTTTGTTGGGGTATCAGCAACCGTGTAAATATGAAAGATAACATTAAATTTTATGTTTGGCGCGCCCTGTCCGCCCCTGATCCCCCCGCCCGCCCCCCCCCCCCTCTCCTCCCGCCCCTCCTCTTCCCCTCCCACCCTTCCCCCCCCGCCCCGCCCCCTCCCTCTCCCCCCCCTCCCCTTCCCTCCCACCCTCGCCCTGTCTCCCTCCCCTCCCCCCCCCCCTTGCCTCGCCCCCCCCCCCCTTC